TCCCATATAACGGTAATTTTCAGCTTTTCAGGAATACGAAAACTACGATATTTTAGTAACTACTGAAGATTATTCACTCAAATCACTCAAATTTTTAGACGAAAAATAAGAATATTATAAATTTTTGGAAAATGGGCGTAGCCACGCCCACTTATGGTTACATGTGTATATCTTGGTAACCGCTGCACCAATTTCTTCCAAACTTGGCACAGTTGTTGGCCTTGGTACAGCATAAAAAATCGCCGAAACTTTTTAAAATCGGACAATAACCACGCCCACATCCCATATAACGGTAATTTAGAGAAATACAAAATCTTCGATAAATCAGTAAATATTGAAGCTAATTTATTCAAAATTGATGCTTGCAACAATTCTTTACCAAGAAATACGCTTATGGTAAAATTTTGGAAAATGGGCGTGGCACCGCCCACTTATAATCACATTTAAGTATATCGATAACCGTTCTACCAATTTGTACCAAACTCGGTGTGGTTATTGCGCTTGCCACATATAAGCAAAACGTTGAAAATTATTGAAATCGGACTAAAATAACGGCCGCTTCTCATATAACGGTACATTTCAGAAATGCTTGAAACTTCAATATTTCGAAATTGAAGGACGCTAATTTACTCAAAACTGATACACCCCGGCTCACCATCTAGCGAAAGGTTTCGGAAAGGTGAAAAAACATATATTTAATACTTGCGCCGGGTATTTAATGTTCGGCTCCGCCCGAACTTAGACTTTCTTACTTGTTTTAGTATGTACATATCGCCACTAGACACAAATAAAGGCGCGAACTCAAAAGTTGACCACGAAAAAAGGCGCATAAAAAAAATTCAGCGAAGGAAGACTCTTAATATAGTAAATAGAAGAACGCGTAAACTTATTTAATTATGTTTGCGGATGTAATAGTATGTAAATTCTCCAAAGAGATTTCGGGAATGATGCTAAAGTGACAGCCCTTGGCCAAGTAAGTCTTTCTTCGCCGTCAAACAGGTTACGCGTCTTTCTACGCCGAAGTTTTTCTTAAGCGTCTTTTTCCAAAAAAAAATTATTTACTCGTCTTTTTTCGCCATCGCAACACAAGCGCACCTTTATTCGTATCAAGGAACGATAATTACTTTTTAAGTTTTCATTTAAAGACAATTTCGCGGTGGGATCTTGTTCTTTACACGAAACTGAAGATAATGCAATTTCTAAGGTGGGCGTAACACGTTTTTGTCTAAAAATTTAACAACTCGTGATATTTGCGCAAATATATATTTATTTCGTTTTATATAAACACATACATACATACATATATCGATGGTCATCTCCAATTACGACGCAACACAAAAATTTCATATTTTTCAGTAGAGCCAATTCATGATTTTGTGCTTCGTAGTTTAGCAATAATATGTCTCGGAACGTAATTATTCCGAATTATTCTCAGTCGTTGTGTATAAAATTTGTAAGCTTTCAACTTATGATTTTTTTCTAAAGATTTAGTAAGGCTTCGACTGAAAAAATACCAAATAGATTACAACTCCTAAGTAAATAACTCCACTGGTATTACTGAAAAACGGCACAATACGAAACATGTCGGTACTTCACATAAAAAAATAATTACTAATTGTCTTACATAAACTATGTAATGACCAATAATACAAAAAATACCATTTTAAGTATGCAGTATTGTAGTACATTTAATTTTGGTACAATAGAGCGCAAGTTCGAAGTAACTAGGACTTACCGTTGATTTTTGGCTCTTATTCTTCCATTAAAAAACCGTCGAACATACATACTTTGTTTGCAGGCACATGCACAACACTGTTAGAAAAAAATTGCCAAATTTCAGCGGCGCCAATTTTTATGTTGCGCTTTGCATGACCTAATATTTTCAATAATCCGAATAAGTGAATTGCAAATGTCAATATAATTAATGACATTGTTGAAAAGGGAAAGTATTTATTTATGATATAACGAAAAATGAAGAGTGAAAAAAATATTTTAAAGTACAAAACACGAAATACCCTTGCAAAAAGGTAATAAAACACAAAGCACAAATACGTATTTCTTATTTTTTAATTAAATTTTAAATACTTGTATTTGATATACTTGGCATCTCTTGGTCTAGGACACCCTGTATAATTGTAAAAATTACCCATATATCAGGGCGGATCGAAAATCAAACTTTTCTCAAATCCCTTGATAATAGTGAAAATATTTTGTATCATGAAGTCAACAACAAGCCAGCAAAATATTAGTATTTTATTTTAATTGTAAGGGCCCGCGCATCGGCCGCGAAGTGACCCACAGCACACTAGTCGAATGGTACCAATTCTTGTTAACAATTCTGGGTTCAGCAAAAAGGTTTGGTGCATATTATTAGATAATAAATCCGTTAACGCAAAACATAAAGTCATATCTCATTTTTAATAAAGTTTTAATTGTTCTCTTGCTAAT